AGGGCGACTATGTAGAACGCACCTAGTCCGAAGTCGTCTGCCATAGTAGTTGTCATGATTCCCAGCATCTTAAAGTGCTCTTGATACATTCTCAAACGTTTTGCCGGCATCGTAGTCGGCATCATCAGTGAGCTTTGTCATTCTCCGCACCAATCTACGAACTCGTCAAAGAGATAAGTCTCTTAACTTGTCTCTTTGACGAGTTCGTAACTTGGTGCGGAGAATGGCAAAGCTCACTGATGACGCCGACTACGATGCCGGTGAAACGTTTGAGAATGTATCAAGAGCACTTTGAGATGCTGGTAATCATGACAACTACTATGGCAGACGACTTCGGACTAGGTGTGTTTTACTAAGTCGCCCTGACAACAAGAACAAGTTGCGACAACGAGGTTAACCCACCTCTTCAAAAAACTTGTTTTTTATACTAGGTGGCATGTTGATAGAAGTGGCACGTAAACTCCTAATATCTGACTAGAAGTTAACATAAAAACGAATTTATCGCATTATGGTTTATGATAAGTAATAAATGAACGGGCATTACAAAATTTCAAGACGAACCAAATTTGCCATGGCTTTAATTCGACTTATTATGGTGAAATTCAACGATTAGATGTAAAAATATTTTTTATTTCTTAATTTTCCACATTGTGTAAAAAAGTCGCTAGTTAGACCATTTAAGAATATATACCTTTTCACACAAGCATGAAGATCACTAAGGAAAGCTGGATTCTATCAAAATGACTTTCATGATGGATACGTTTCCACTTGTATTTGAACCGTTAGAATTATTAGTTAGCATTGGCACTTTCTATGCGTTAGTCATGAGTATCCTTTCCTGAGTCCTCTCGCGTCCTCATCAGTGGGTTATACTCTAGACCGATTTGTAGTTATCCTGGAAAAGTGAGTTTGACGGAACGTTATCGGTTTTCATTTGCCCGATACAAAAGCATTTTTGTACAATAGATACACATTTTTTCATTAAACATGAAAATTTCAGCATCATCAGCCACCTTCTATTAACTTTTAGATATACCATCGGTCGGTTATCCATTTGATTCAGATGAGGAGAATTTCATCACATTCTCCCAATACTCAGGTATCGTATCTCCTGTCGCACTCGGTTCCACACATCTCTTGTCTTCTCTCAAGCCACCTACAGGCGAATTCATCTTCCTTGATCCAGAATCAAAGTGTAAATTTGATCAAATCTGGCAGCAGTTAATCGATCGCGCAACATCCGTCTCGAAAGCGGTCGAACAAGAAACGGTTAAAGCAGCAGAAGAGTGCAACAACTTATTCCACCAGCCCTCAGGGACCTGGTTACAGCTTCTGTTTCGGCATGTGTTTCACTCATTCCCTGTTATATCTGATCCCTTGAACCTTCTGCCTAGCGACTTGCTCAAACTACAAAGACCAACCCCTGTTGTGCCTCAGTTTATCTGTGACTTGCCGAACAGCTTTCTGACCATTGTGGATAACGACACAGGTAAATATTAATAAAAACGACCAGCATGTTTGTTTAAAATTTTCCTTACCCGGACTCATGGTTAGGAACCTACTCAGGATTTTTAAAATTCTTCATTAGATTCATCATTTCAACGATCCAACATTGGCTGATTAGCACCCTCTCAATAAATATCTAAGGGAAGAACTATTTAAATTGTACTCTTTAAGCGTAATTCTGATATGTTATTGTCTCTGAAATATCACACAATGGAGAATTTAAGCGTAAATCATGGCAAAGGGGTGGGAAGAGAACTATCATTGAAAGAAAGAAAAAAGGTAACACTTGCTTATATCATGATTTATTATTATTATTATATTGTTGTAATATAAATTATTAACGATTAGTAGAACACATTAATTAAAATATAATAAATTATTATTATTAAGATCTTAGATTATCAAGCTATTTTAGAATTAGGCTAAAATACGACAAATATTTAATTATTTTACGTATGTAAGTAGAATGTCGAGACTACCAGTAAATCAGTTATATGAGATGTGTTCACCCAATTTCGTTTAAGGTGATGAAGGACTAGTAGAAGAATTTTCCCACAATGATATGAGTAGAGCTGTCGTTTCCATTCAAATTCACATAGCCTTGCTTTACCAAAAGTTGATCTCATCCAGGGGGGACTGCAGTTTCGACCTCGCATCGGTCTTATCAATACCCCCAGCGTACAATCGGAGCTTGACACGTTAAACATTCGGCCACATTGCCACGAGTGTGAAAGCAAGGCTATGTGAAATTCAATGAAAACGTCAGATCTAATCATATAATTGTGGGAAAATTCTACTACCATTCGTTCTTCACCTTAAACGAAATAGGGTGAATACATCAAATATATCTAATTGATCTGAAAAAAATTCTCTAAGCTAATAAAAACCACTTTTATTCTGTGGGTTCATTCAAGATTTTGCCGGAGAGTGCACATCAACTTTATTCTATTCAGCCTTAGCCTCCAACCCACATACGATTATAGACAGGTTCAACTTGTTTGCCTAAAACTAGCCACTGAGTATAAGAAAATCTGAGCTTTTTATCCTCGGATAAAATACAATTAATTTCAATGTAGGGGGCGGGATACGATGCCGTTATATTCGGCTCTTCCATTCTTTCAAACAAGCATAGGAACAGGATATTTGAAATAATTCAGGAACTAGTTTGAAGCTAAAAGTAATTTTGATAGTTCTTGTTTGTTGCTTTGAGCCACGCTTATTGTTTACTCTTCAATATCCTCTGTTTGAGATTTCAGCCCGGACAGGCATAACCTGTTTTAGGCACGAGGGATTTAGGCGAAATAAATATCTCATCTGCCGAAGGGATGAAGTAACTAAGACAATAAATGATTACAACTGTTTTATGTAATTATATGGTTATACATTAAATGGTTAATGGGATTTTTTGTAAAGCTATCGAATTTGTGTACAGACGAACTTAGAGTTGGGTGACTATGTGCAACAGATAATGATTGGAGAACATTTATTGGAGACGGCATGGGAACTCATGAAAGACTCCAACTTCAAGCGACGCTGCTAGCTTGATACCTAAAATCTAATCGTTCGAATTGTAGATATTATAAAATACTTGCGGTATTTAAAAAAAACAATGAGTAGGTATTATCTAAACTTTCTTGAGTTTTTCCCTTTCGTTGAGCTTCATGATAAGGTCTGTGTGAGAATGTGATGGGTGATGCAAAGGAATTGACAAAGTGGAAATATGCAAATTTTTACTTTTTTATCATTTGATAAGGATGTTCTCTTTTATTTATGTTCCTTGACAAATGACTCAGGCAAACACTATATACATACACCAGAAGAGACTGTTTCGACTCGCCTGTTTTTACCGAACCAAAACGGCTACACATTTATCGGCTTGACCTCCAGACTAACAACTGGGCCGCTGGAGGGCAATGAGAGTTCGCCACCGCCTGTTCGCTCGACAAGTGAGCGACCAAATGGAAGATGGCGCCTTCGCCTACTCAACGGACCTTCTGACAGCCTTTCTGCAAGCAAACCACCTTCACTACGCCCGGATGGATATGGCATCCAAGAAGAGGGACATTTGGTCTGCGATTTTCACGAACAAACCATCGTTGACTACTACACGCCAAACAAGAACGGCTTGCTCTTTTCTCAAACCATTAAGGTGTCTATCCCTACTCTGACCCATTTCATTTATGGGAAGTCTCCTTAAAAAAACTTACCTTATTTGTATGTCATATGGTCTGACTTTATATTCCTATTCTAGCTCGAGTGTAGCAATATAAGTGTATGTATGCTATGAAATCACAGTTAATTTTTTTACGATAATTATCCTTCATTCTTGATTAATAGAGACAGTGTTTCTCACCAGACAGAACAAATATTAAAAGTGCAGAAGGAAAATGGAGGATATATTTACTCATTCCTTTTGTGGTTGATGCATCTACTTTGAAATTTGTTTAAATAGTGAATTTGTTTTCTCTACCAATAGTATGGACCTTAAATGAATCATATAAAAGCCATAAATTTCATACTTCATTCGATTTTCATCAACAAACCACAGTTAATCAAACTATTTCCCGCCAACCCTGATAAAAACAGTAATTTTAATCTAGCTTTCAATTCAACAGATTGTGCATTTGATAAAGGGTGAGTTTTGCTTTAACCATATTCTAAAATGAAAGTCTGCTAAAATATGTTTAGGTTTAGAAATTGAGCGATAAAGCTTTTAACTTCAACGGACTAGTCTAATTAGTTCATTAATCTATCATCACACTTTAACCTACCCTATATAGAACAAGGTTTTTCCTATGACTAGTTCTTTTTATTCATTATTATATTAATAGTCTTTAATTCCACAGACGAGATTAGATGAATAGGGAAACTAGACCGAACTCCTTATCAACAGGCTCATTAGCTCATCTTTGAATGAGAAAATATTAATCTTAACTAAAGCATATGACAATCGGTTTAAAGTTATGATCATTCAACGCTTTATTCACCCTAGGTCGCATAAAGAGTCTAAAGACTGATAGTTGAATTTTCTCAAAATTAGATGAGTAAGCCTCGCAATGTGACGGAATCTCATTTAGTCTCGCCTTCCAACCAGTGTTCGCACCCAGGCCCGAATAGTCTGGACTGCAGTTTTAACCTCATCCTGGTCTCATTACCGCCTACAACAGGAATATCATACCGAGAACGCAGCGTACAATTTCGTTATATTAGATCTTCTCCACTCTGTAATGGGTGCCAGTCGGTAAGAGGACAAGCAAATTTCAAGGCTATCCAGCCCTCGCCCATATCACATTTTGTTGTAGGAATGCCGATGAAGCAAAATTGTATTTTTTCAAAAATTAATTACAGTATTCATTTTCCGATTGACTGGGCATCGAAACTATTAGTAAATATTGAATAAGTTCAATCATCGTAACTCAGGGCTTCCCATCTGAAAATTCGCTTACTTTCGCATGAGTGTGAAATTGAGTTTGCACGGAGGAAATTCTGAGGAGGATTGCTAGGACAATTTATTCAAGTCTGAACAATAGAACACTCCGAGGTTGTGTAAATTATATGGTGAATTTTAAAGGCCCA